CAGCCCAGGAAGCAGGTCAGAGCTGGGAGCAGAGTCATAGAAGCAGCCCACAGAGCAGACCTGTTTGGGAGGAGAGCTGCAGCAACCAGAGCCAGGGGGGCCAGAGAAGCAGCCCAGGGAGCTGGAGGCAGAGCAGCAGCAGCAGCTGTGCTGAGGCAGAGTGGAGCTGGAGCTGGAGCTGGGGCTAAAGCAGTCCGGAGCAGAGTGCGGTGAGCAACTGGGGAGAGCGAGGGGTACCCTGGGCAGCAGGGCGAGTGCAGGGAGATGCCCCCAGCCAAGAGGCCTTGCAGGCCAGACTTGGAGGGGGATCGTAACCCCGACGGGGAGGGGGCAATGCTGGGAAGAAGGGTCCTGCCACCTAGAGCCTGAGACCGTGTGGCCACTGCCAGAGCAAGCGTCTGACCCTCAGCATCCCTGCAGCACAGCCAGGGCCTGAGAAGGAGGCCTGGGACTTGTGAGGAACAGATTGAACGTCTCTTACATTACAGAGATGCTGGTTGTGATGCCCCCATGCCTCAGAGCAGGGTTATATGTTTTCTTTTAACCTTTCCCATTTTTCCTTATTTTTTTTAAATTGATTGCGGTTTAATAAATTGTATTTGCTTTGAACTGTATGTAATCAGTGGGTCAGGGAAGCATCCAGTGCAGAGAGACCACCCCGCAGTGGGGACACCCTAGCCCAGGGGTGGGCAAACTTTTTGGCCTGAGGGCCACATCTGAGTATGGAAATTGTATGGTGGGCCATGAATGCTCATGGTTCCCGGCCAATGGAAGCTGCGGGGCAGCGCTTGGGGCAGCGTGCGAAGCCCCCTGGCCGCCCCTACACATAGGAGCCAGAGGGGGGACATGCCGCTGCTTCTGGGAGCCACATGGAGTGGGGCCAACCCCTGACCCTGCTTCCTGGCTGGAGCACCGGAGTGGGGCAAGCCCTGGACCCTGCTCCCCAGCGGGAGCTCGAGGGCCGGATTAAAGCATCTGAAGGCTGGATGCGGCCCCAGGCCGTAGTTTGCCCACCCCTGCCCTAAGTGACCATGCCAAGGTTGGGAATCCAGCTCCCCAGGAATCCTGGGCCCAGCCTTGTTGGGGTTACAAGGACTCTGCCACACAGGAGAGCCCTCGAGGTCAGGCAGGCCTCTGGGTAAAGGAAGTGTGAGTGAGGACTCAGATCCTTTCGCTAGCCCACTTCACCGGGGTAGTGTATAAGCCAGGAAAGTTCCCCACAATAGCGGAATCATTCCCCCGCTTACACATAGAGGAAGAACTAGGAGCATGATGATATCACAAGTGTATAGAAGAACAACCTTATTAACAAAAAGGGAAGGAGTTTTTATTCAGACTATTTACAACTTTTATTTACACCTATTTAACCCAAACATTTGGGAATAAAGATCTTTTTTTAAGGACTCAATACTTCTTCCCCTTCGTCTAAGGGCAGGGAGCGTGCCCAATCCACATTTTTGTGATGCTCATTAAATCCTCCAGTAAAATTAGGGAAGTACAAAATAAGCAAGAGATTAAGATATATTTTAAAGAGTTTTCCTGACTCTGTACCGAAAGAGCGAAATTTTATTCCTTTGCAGGTCACCTGTAAGTAGGGTGACCAGTCCCAATTTTATAGGGACAGTCCCGATTTTGGGGTCTTTTTCTTATATTGGCTCCTATTGCCCCCTACCCCCTGTCCTGATTTTTCACATTTGCTGTCTGGTCACCCTACCTGTAAGAAATTTCTTCTGAGACCAGACCTCTGACAACTGAGAAGGAGGGAAGCTAAATGTTACCCATCTCCCTTTGCCCTGCCTAAGGACATCACTGATTTTGAAAAGTGCTCACCTTCATCTAATCCACAGCCTAGAACCTCATGTACTCATTTACATGTTTGGGAACCTAAAGAGCCATCATCTTAAATGACAATTCTAACTGCATTGCCTTGCCCAGTTTAAAAAAAAAAAAAAAAAAAGGCTGCGAAGTTGTTTGATTGCTGCAAACACATACGCAGGGAAATTCCAACAGGAGCCTGAAACAAGGTACTTTTCACTGGATCACCAGTGTTGGTATGCCTAAGGGAAATGTCTGGACTTTTGAAAGTTTGTGTCCTTTTTCCTTTTCTTCCCTCTTATCATCTGGATCATCTTGAAAGAGGCTTTTGATTATGTCTGTCTGTTTTATACTGCCTTAGAAATTCTCTAGGGCATGTCCTCCATACAACTACAGGATGTAAATCCACAGTTCCTAGCTCAGACTAGCAGAACAGCACAGTGCTTACAGGTAACATCAAAGAAAGCTCACAGCACATTCGTTTGTGCCAGCACTCCTCGTTTACTTTTTCCCTAGTTTCTCTTCTAAACAGTCCAAGCTTTCCCTGGTACAGCACTGCAGGATGCGCAGAATAAGATGCCACACACCAGGGGCCGCCTGTTCAGCTATATTAAAAGGGAAAAGAAAAAAAAAGAAAAAAGAAAAAAGAAAAAAGACAAGACACTCATGTATTTTTACACTTGCAAGACTGAGCAATATCTTTCTATCATGCTCTCATTTGCAGAGGCTCTGTGAAATCCTTATAGACTGGAAATTATTTCAGGTCATGCGTCAGACAACTATGGTGATTTTACCAAACACATTCAAAAACACATTGGGCTGGATATCAGCTGAAAACTACCCCAAATACAATTCCCCAAAAATGGATTCTCAGTTTTAAAAAGCAAGCTGCAGGTTTGCCGTTCATTTTCCTTCTATTTATGTTTTTATTCTGACAAGTAAGTGACTCTGAACTTCTCAGTATGGACTTGTTCCCAGAATAACAGGTTAATTGCAACATTCCCACACAGCCACTAGGAAGTGCTCTTCCACTTGCTCTAATTTCCCTTCCCTTTAAAGACAGGCTCACCCCCACAATGGCTCGCAGTAGCTCCGTAGAGTGAGAAAGCGAAGATCATTAACTGTATGAGTGCAACGGAGCCATCAGTCAAATCCAGGGAGTGAACATTTAAAGCCTCTAGCTGGCTATTAGCACAGAAAAGGATAGCAGCAGCTGCAACTCCCATTTAGCTTAGCCCAGTCAGCAGAAGTAAGAAGAATTTGTGATGCTGAACAAACTGGAAGAGGAATTTGAGAAAATGCATTTCCTACCCTGTCCCTCCAAGTATAAATTGGGGTTTCTAAGTCAAAAGGCTGCAGCCACCTTGCTAAAAACAGCAATGGTATTTATGAGGTTTATTCAAATACCCAAGAGAGCAAGCAAAATGGTGAAGCGTACACTTGTATCTTCTCCTGCACAGAGTATAAGGCAAGACAATGAGGGCATTTTGCACATAAAGAGCCAGACTCCAAATAAATAACTTTACACTTAAAGAAAGCCTCCCAATGGAAGAACTTAAGGCTCACACATTAATCAAGCCCCTGGTATTGTTCCCTTTCTACAGATGGGGAAACAGAAGTGATTCCTCCAAGTTTGGAGAGCAAGTGGTTTTGGTGAAAAGTGGGAACCAGCCAACAAGCTATTTCAGTAAATGCCCCGGAAGTGGAAGAAGCAGAGGTTTAAAAATAGGAATGGTTTACTATGATTTTACTTTATACTAACCAGGGTCTTCAAAGTGACACGTGAAAGCCATATAAAACTTACTGTCTTGAAAGTACAGGGCAGCCAGTGGTTGCTTTTTAATGACAAAGGACAGAACAAAGCTGATCAGTGTCAGGTGTATTGCCAGGGAACTCAAGAGAACAGCGCCTAGCCCTCTATCGAAGAAAATACAAGACCAAGAAAATGCATTCTGGGCTGTATATTTATTTGTGATCAAGCAATAGTAGGCATATTTCTATGTAAACACACAGCAGCCCTGAGACCCTGGCCTATCCAGTGGAGTCTCAATATTGCAAAGCCTGGAGTCTCCCATTTTGGACTGTTAAAGGTTTGGGCAGTCTGGTAGGCAAGTGAGCAAGCACAGACACCTTATATAGGGGGTGCCATCGCAAGGCTTTGAGAGAAATACTGAATTATATTGGGAAACATTTAAAAAAAATTGGAAAAACAATTAAACAACCCAGTGAGCTGGGCCTTCATGGAAGCAGGAGAGTGTTTGCTCAGAGGGTAATTATGGTGGCCCTCCTGCTGCTGCTGTCTAGAAGGCACCCAGTGCATCCGCCAACTGGGGAAGAACAAAAAGCCCACAATTAAAGCGGACAGGCATGTCCTGGTATCAGCAGCCTCATTTACAGAGGAGGAGAGCAAACAGCAAGAGACAAATTGAATGGCCTAATCCTTCCCAGTATGGAGGGCCAACGGGGAAGGGCATCATTTGCTTTTTGAAATGGAACATTCCATGTCAACAACAAAAATAAAAGGGGGTGGGGGTGGGGGAAAATCACACTGCCCTTTGCTCTGCCTTTAGCCGACAGCACAGTAATGAATGATGACATCTGAAATATTCTGTGTCGTCCTTCTGTTTAGAAACAGCCTCCAAGAGATTGGAGCAGAGAGACAGGCTCATGATGGGCGTATTTATAGTAAGTACTTCCTGGAACTGGGTTCATGCCCTCTGTTGCCACAACCCCCAGTGGCAAAACTAATGCAACCACAGCAACGTATCTTTGCCATGTTGCTAACATTCTTTTGCCACAAGGGGCATCACTCCCACAAGGAACACAACACACACTGGCAGCTTGTGTCCAGAGATGGAAAAACCTTATGAACGTTCAATGCTATCATCAACTCTGAGCACCAAAGCAACATGCAGCAATGTCTGGCAAGCAGAAATACTGATTCTAATACAAGAGTAAGGCAAAGGGATGCTATCAGACTTTTTACGCAAATGCTGTTTTCTATCAAGAACAGTGCTTGTGTTCAACACATCACCGGCTTTCAGAGATTCTGAGCACCACCCACACTGAAGTTAACAGCAGCTGTGAGGGCTCAGCACCTCCACAAGGCAGACTGCCTATGTATTTCAAGTCCCAGCCTACACACACCCAGTTTTCATGCCCTTATTTAGCTTACTGATACTTGCCTCAAACGTGACGAAGTCATCAAACTCATCAGGACAGACAGAAGGTTCCTCCTCATGGGTATACCCCATCTCATACAACTGGCTGTCAGAATCTGAAAGCACAGAAAAGAAAAAGTCAGCTGTTACTAGCGGGGAGGAAAGAGACCAGAAGTGGATTTGAACCCCAAAATGAAGAGCATGTCCCTGCGAGAGCCGGTAGTTGCGGGGCAGAGTTGAGAAAGGACTTACTTTTCAACAGAGGGGGATTTTTATGAGGCAGGATTTTTAATTATTATTAAAGATCCCAGTTTGAGAGCAGCCAAAGTCACAGGATTAATCCAGTTAAAAAAGTGCTTCCTAACATTAGGTCCTTGGGGTCCCTCCGCACCTTGAAGGTGATTGGGATCTGGGTTCCTGTCTCCCCCCAACATACCATGGCACAATTGCTGCCATCTCTCTTTTTCTGTGTGTTCTTTCTTCACTCTTTATTCTTCTGTGGTATTGTTGGTCACTAGCTTTTTTCACTGTTCTCCCCAGCAATGCCACCTCTTCCCACTTCCCCATTCTCCTACTCAGCAGAAGGCTACATGCTGCTGGGGGCAGGGGAATCCATCAGTTCTACACAAGACTGAACTGACTGCCATCGGACTGGTGAAGAGAACAGGCTGCTGCTGAGCCTGCAGCTCCATCAGGAGCCACCAAGACAGAAGGGCAGGGACAGAGGGTGGATTTCAAGGGGCTTTACTTGAGCCACTTTACCCAAAACACAAGCACCTTGACATTAGAGTCGATCTGAGATCATAGAATTTTTCTCAGCCCCAATGCTCCCTTCTGCATAAGTCCTCCCCACCCCTCTGAGCCATACCTAGGATTCCTCCCACAGGTTGAGAAACACTGGGTTAAAGTAAGATACCCAATCCCGTCAGCTCAAATTAAATGGTGGGAGCAGGATCACATCTCTTGAATTTACACATATCAAAGCTGTTTAACTTGGATGACATTAACCAGGGCAAGGAATCACTATGGACAATCGTGTTTTAGAGACGCTCTCCAATCATGTACAAAGCGACAAAGAGTCCTGTGGCACCTTATAGACTAACAGACGTATTGGAGCATAAGCTTTCGTGGGTGAATACCCACTTCATCAGATGCATGGAGTGGAAAATGTGTGTGTGCACAAGTTCAACATCTATCCAGAAAATGTTAATAAATAGCGCTTGCTATTAATAGATTTGACTTGTTATAAAGAGTAGGAGGCAGTATGGTCTATTATTATTATTTGTACAGAACATTGGACTGGGAGTCCAGCTCTGTCACACAGCAGGTAAGCATGATCAAATTACTCTTCCCCAGCCCCTTTTCCATATCCCTTCCCATCCATTGACTTGGCTATTTAGAGTGAAAACTCTTCAGGACAGAGACTGTCCCAATCTCTATTGGGGCTTCTAGGCACTACTGTAACACAAATAATCACCACCTAAACAAGCTGCTTTCAGTCCATTCTATGTCTGCAAATTGTTCTGCAATTTGAAAAGCCTGGGGAAAAGTGCTTTTACCCTAAGGGTGAAGAAAAAAGTGTCCTCGCACAAGTGCCACCACCAAGCAATGTTTACAAGAATACTTCACTGCTATCATCAACAGGTCCTTTGAGAGCAGCAAAACCAAGGAGTGTATCAGCATTAACTGTGATGCACAGAAACTTGACTAGCAGCAGGAACCCAGTGGCCCAGGGGTGGGGAGACTGGGCTGAAACGTGCATACCTGGTTTAACTAGCTTGCTGTACTCATTACAAAGGAAGTGTACATTTACTTAATCCCCTCTTTCAAAGTGGGTTTTTTTAATTTTAAAAATAGGAGCAAACATCTCTTAAAAATAGGCCTGATTATTCCATGACTCCAGATCTCCTTCTAGGGTTACCATATTTCAGGTTCCCAAAAAGAGGACACTGCCGGAGGGGTGGGGGTGCAGGGAAGAGCTGGAGAGGTGTGTGTAGTGGGAGAGGTATGGGGGGCGGAGGGGATACCTGCAACGGCAGTGCTCACTGGAGGTGGGGGGCAGTGTTGCTCCCTGTCATGGTGGCAGGGCAGCTGGCACAAGCCCAGGATGCAGTGACAGCCGTAAGTTAGCACCTCCCTGCAGGACCTCCTCCCCAGGGCTGGGTGGGCAGGATCCAGCAGCTGTGGCTGCAGGAGGATGGACCAATCAGCTGCAGAGGTAGGGAGGGACTAATCAGGAAGTAGACCAATCAGGGCTCTTTCTGAGCTGCAAAGACTGTTCTATAAAAATCCCAGACATTGCCTGATATTTGAAAAATCCGCCTGGACAGAGGATCAAAAAGAGGCTCTGTCCGGGAAAACCCAGACATCTGGTAACCCTGCCTTCACACCTATCTCCTCCCACCCCCTTTTTACTCTCCCTAACTCACCCAAAGCTAAGAGTTGCAGTAACCTTCCCTAAAACCCATCAATGTTGCCCTTTCAGTAGGCCAGTAAAAATGGAACATTATAACACACACACCCCGAATCCAGGCTCTAGGAGTTAACTACTGTATAACTAACCTGTGGCTTGATGGATACCCTCATCTTATGTCTATGGACTGTAAAGCTATGTAATTTAGAGGAAGCCTGCAACACATGGCATTCTGACAAAGCAGTCCTCCCTTAACCTGGATGTGTGGCTTTCAGTGGCAACACCATAAATCACAGTGAGGAACAAGATTGAACATGTTCTTTAGCAAGTGGTGTCTGATTATGTGCTCTACCGTACAAGCGTGGCAGGGTCATTCCTTCAACCGATGAAAAGGTGCTCCTGTGTGTAATTTACATCTGTAATATCTCTTGGAGCTGCACAGGCCAAGTTCTCTTTTGCCAGCGGTTATAGTCTTTTGATTCTGCTTTGTAATCAAAGAGAGATTGTCACATACTCAGCCAGAGCTAGTCAGTATACTAATAGTGAGACAACTAGCCAGTGTTCCTCCTCCTATGCAAATAAAGTGGTCATGTAAAAAGGCACTTGAAGACCCAGTACAGACAGTTTGATAAGAAGTGTGAGAATACTTACAAGGGGAGATAGATTCAATGTTTGTAATGGCTCAGCCATTCCCAGTCCTTATTCAATCCTAAATTGATTGTATCTAGTTTGCGTATCAATTCCAGCTCAGTAGTCTCTCATTGGAGTCTGTTTTTGAAGTTTTTCTGTTGTAAAATAGCCACCCGCAGGTCTGTCATTGAATGACCAGACAGGTTAAAGTGTTCTCCCACTGGTTTTTGAGTATTATGATTCTTGATGTCAGATTTGTGTCCATAAATTCTTTTGCGTAGAGACTGTCCGGTTTGGCCAATGTACATGGCAGAGGGGCATTGCTGGCACATGATGCCATATATCACATTGGTAGATGTGCAGGTGAATGAGCCCCTGATGGTATGGCTGATGTGATTAGGTCCTATGATAATGTCACTTGAATAGATATGTGGACAGAGTTGGCATTGGGCTTTGTTGCAAGGATAGGTTCCTGGGTCAGTGTTTTTGTTCAGTGATGTGTGGTTGCTGGTGAGTATTTGCTTTAGGTTGGGGGGTTGTCTGTAAGCGAGGACAGGTCTGTCTCCCAAACATTGAATCTATCTCCCCTTGTAAGTATTCTCACACTTCTTATCAAACTGTCTCTACTGGGCTATCTTGATTATCACTTCAAACGTTTTTTTTTCCCCCCCTCTTACTTAATTGGCCTCTCAGAGTTGGTAAGACAACTCCCACCTGTTCATGCTCTCTGTATGTGTGTATATATATCTCCACAATATATGTTCCATTCTATATGCATCCGAAGAAGTGGGCTGTAGCCCACGAAAGCTTATGCTCTAACAAATTTGTTAGTCTCTAAGGTGCCACAAGTACTCCTGTTCTTTTTGAGGCAAAGACAGAGACAGTGACCTGAGAGAGTCTCAAAGATGAGCGGGGAGAAGGCTGATCTTTGTGGAGGAGTGAGCGAGCAGCCCTTCTAAAATATACTATCAATATTGACATCTCTAGGTGGATGAGGAGAGATATCATCAGATGTGGACCTTATAATTCATGCCTCTGGATTATTGCAACATGTTCTAACTCAGGCTAGATTTGAAGAGTATTTGGAAGCTGCAGCTAGAGCAGAATGCAGTGGCCCATTTAGTGGTGGTCTGCACAGACTGCACATTGCACCCGTGCTCCACAGACTGTGCTGACTTCCAGTTAGTTTCCAGGTGCAATTCACGGTGAAAGTTTCAGTTTCTAAAAGCCCTTTATGACTTCAGAGCCTCATCTCTACGTGGGTATCAAGAGAGTTAACAACATACGGAGTGCTGAGCTTACAGCGACCAGACCTGTGCCAAGTGGCTGGGAATTGGGTGGCTGCCAGCACTTTTACCACTGTATCATCTAGAATTGCTCTAAGCTGGGTCAGGCAACATGGTGGCTGAAATACTGAAGTCTGGTCTACAATACTGCTCTGACTGCTGCTAGCAGCAGAGGGGGAAAAAATTACAAGTCTAGAGTAAACAAAGCCTCAGCTCTTGATTCAAATGTACTCCTCTCCCCAGTCTAAGCACCTACTGGCCCTCCATGCATGCTTCAAGGCAAAACTACTTATTCAGGTCCTTTCTGAGGGGGTAGGCTGAAATAGGAGGGTTTTAGGTCGGGGGGGGGGGCGGGCTTTTAGCTGGATTAAGAGAGTCTGATGTTATATATGCACATCTCGAGTTGTTGATGGGAACCGTGCACAATTAAAATAAACAAAATCTCTGCTACACTCACCCTCTGTCATCATTCCAGTTAGCTCTAATGCTGTCTGATCCTACCCTTTGTGCTTGCTCAGTTACATGAAGGGACAGTGTCCAACACACTAGATCTTATTTAATTTTGTGGAGAATATGGATGCAAGTTGCCCCATCTGTTTGTGACTTGGTTATGCTGGAGAGGTCTCTCTGAACAGTCAGATATTCTATTCTTTCTGTGATTTGTGCTTTGAAAATGTAGCACCACTAAAAAGAGCTTTGTAAGAAAAAAATGTATAGGTTTCTCAACAGCTGATTGCATACTTGCCATCGCTCCCTTCTACAGGAGCAATCGCTAGGAGTCAGGTTT